TCATTCCTTCCATCATCTCTAAAAGGATAATCATAAACATTATCCCAATTCGCTCTAGGGAGTTCTTGAGAGAAATCTAAGATTCGGATTCGTTGTTGTTTGCTTTAAACGTAAAGCTTGTTGCTAAACTAATCAGATTATGTTCTAATATTCATTTATATAGTAATTATCCAATGTATGTTATTAGTTATTAAAAAAAAGATTGCTAGTCTTTTGGGCTTCTAAAAACAATGTATACTTTGCTACAAATCGATTTTCAGAGTTTCAACAACTTATAAGCATCATCAAGTCACATTAAGCAGCAAGAAAGATCGATAATATTTCCGAATAGACAAAAATGGAAAATTTAGAAATTTGCAGGACTATCATCGAGTTGCTTCTCATCTTCAATCTCAACCTCCAAAATTTCAGGGATCCTCTGTTTCAAGTAGTTCCCAATTCTAGCTAGAACCATTGCACGTGTATGCCAAAACTTGCCTCTTAAACTTATCTTAACGAATGGCCCGTCTAGTTCCACTAACTCTACTTGTCCTGTTATCCCAACCGATGAGTCGAAGAGTTGTGCTAGCTACCAAAACATGATTTTTGATCAAAAATTCACAAAATCGGAACCTCTAGACTCTAGTTTAGGTCTGTTAAAAACCGAAAACGAACTAAGATTGTTTCCTTTACAAGCAACAATGCTCTGTTTTTTTTTCATGCGGAACACAATCTCTCAATGTGACCTAGAACCGGTTCGTTACAGTTTCGGTTTAAACGAATTAACGAACGTAACCAAGCAGGAAGAAAATCGGACCAGAAACGATGGTGCAATTCGGTTTAATCGATACCGGTTCTGAATTTATTTCGTACCAATCTTGAATTAGGCAAAAACGGTTAGAAGAAAGCTTTACCTCGATACGAGCTTCGGATAGTACCAGATGGATATTATCCTCCGTCAAATCCAGAGGCGGAAGCGAAACTCCTCCGCCGGAAACTGCTTCCGTCGTCGTTAGTGTTCTTGCTCTGGATTTCTTCGTTAAGATCGTTCCTAAATACACGGGCTTTCTCATTCTAACATTGCTGAATCGTAGAGCTAGTCCAATCCGGTTAACTAATGGATATCCGGTTTTAAGTGGTGGAAATTTTGACAAACCCGTACGGTGGTGGATCGGAAGAGCCACCAGTTCCATGGCGACTGTATCGCAAAAAATCTGACCAACTGGCGAGGACTTATGGGTTCTGACTTCTGATAATGTTGCTGGTGACGTGGCAAAACATTAACCGGTCGTTTTTCACTTCAATCGAAATCTGCAGATAGATGGGCTTAACTGCTTAAGGATTACAAAACATCATGGGCTTACCAGTAATTGTTAAAACCCATTATGTTATACTGTTAGTACCGTTTACATTTTTTGTCAAGTCTCAAGTCTCTCAAGTCACAAAACTCACAACACATGTAATACAATTAAAAAAGTTTTGACCAACATAAATATATATATATATATAGATAAATTGATGAATTAATTAACCAAACTTTCATTATTTGTGAATCTAACGTTGTAGAGTAGAAACCAATAGAAATAAGAATGGCGAAATAAAATCTGTAAATACAAATACACTGTAAGTGTTATTGAATGATAGGAGTCTTTGACAAGTCACGTGGTTACAAATGGTATAGTGGAAAAAATGGGATTGGATTGGAGGTGACATGGACATGTGTGGGGTTTCATTATCCACCATATATATCGTTCACACGCTTTTGGCTCCTACAGAGAGATGAACGAGTACGTTTATACGCAGTGGCGGACCCAGAAATTTTTTTTAATTGGTGTCAATCTATATATACATTTTTGAATGACTTTTAGCAAATAAATCCTGGAGTTAGACCTTATTTACGGATGAATGCCATTGGCATTAATTATTTAAATTTGAAAAATATTACTTAAAGATATTACCAATACGATTTCGAGAATCATAAATTCATATCTTCCTTAATTTTCTGAGTCATTAATGTGATAATCTTTAGGAAATATTTCTCTGTAAAAAAAAAAAATCCACATTAATGAAGGCATTAAAATCGACACTAACAATTAAATTATTTAGATGTTCAATTATTTTAAGATTCTTATATCTTATTTGATATCTTTTTTTAATATCTCATCTTAATTACTGCGTTAGAATTTATTGGTTGGTACCTATTTTTTGGTGAAATTTATTGGTTGTTACTTAATAAGTAATTATGGTGCGTTTATTTTAGTTAATATCTAATTTAAAGGATTTGTTTTCTTTTATTATTAATAAATGAATAACATGTATAGAAATAAAAGATTTTTTTTGCGACTCCATAATAAAAATATTAAACTCTTATTTTCTACATTTCTTACACATAATATCCTCTTATTCAATAACAAAAAATATATATTACATATTTTTAAAAATATTTATAATATTTAAATTATATAAAAAAATTGTAATATTAATATTATTTCAACTCTATACAAATTTAATATATATGTATATATATATATCTTATGGGAACCATTTAAAAGAAATTTTTAAATTGACTTGAATTATATAGCTTTTAAATAAAAGTATTATTAAAAAGAAAAATAACTAAATAATGTTTAATTTCACGGGACGGGTAATATGATGGGACGGGTTTGGGTTGATATTTATAAAAGATCGTATACCACGGGTGAAATCCTAAAATTAACAATCAAAATAATCTATCAATCTATATATACATTTTTGAATGACTTTTAGCAAATAAATCCTGGAGTTAGACCTTATTTACGGATGAATGTCATTGGCATTAATTATTTAAATTTGAAAAATATTACTTAAAGATATTACCAATACGATTTCGAGAATCATAAATTCATATCTTCCTTAATTTTCTGAGTTATTAATGTGATAATCTTTAGGAAATATTTCTCTGTAAAAAAAAAAAATCCACATTAATGAAGGCATTAAAATCGACACTAACAATTAAATTATTTAGATGTTCAATTATTTTAAGATTCTTATATCTTATTTGATATTTTTTTTTTTAATATCTCATTCTTTAATTACTGCGTTTAGAATTTATTGGTTGTTACCTATTTTTTGGTGAAATTTATTGGTTGTTACTTAATAAGTAATTATGGTACGTTTATTTTAGTTAATATCTAATTTAAAGGATTTGTTTTCTTTTATTATTAATAAATGAATAACATGTATAGAAATAAAAGATTTTTTTTGCGACTCCATAATAAAAATATTAAACTCTTATTTTCTACATTTCTTACACATAATATCCTCTTATTCAATAACAAAAAATATATATTACATATTTTTAAAAATATTTATAATATTTAAATTATATAAAAAATTTGTAATATTAATATTATTTCAACTCTATACAAATTTAATATATATGTATATATATCTTATGGGAACCATTTAAAAGAAATTTTTAAATTGACTTGAATTATATAGCTTTTAAATAAAAGTATTATTAAAAAGAAAAATAACTAAATAATGTTTAATTTTACGGGACGGGTAATATGATGGGACGGGTTTGGGTTGATATTTATAAAAGATCGTATACCACGGGTGAAATCCTAAAATTAACAATCAAAATAATCTATCAAACAAATTACATTTTGATTTTTTTAAGAAAATATAGCCCCGCGGTGTACCGCGGGTTAAAATCTAGTTTATAATAAAAACGGTATATTTATAATAAAAATCCTTAAGTTTAAATTGTCTTTAGAATGAGAGAAATAAATATATACGCAGTACAAAAACTGACAACTCGTTTAGTTCGTCGCCCTAGCCGCCAAAGAAGAAGACTCGCCCGTTTTATAGATCTGTCCTCTCCGGCTTCCGGTGCTTCTCGCCGGAGCTGTGAGAGGATCATGTTGGTATTTCCTTTCTTTGTTAGCCCTCTGCTCAGTCTCCTCCGTTGCTCAATGTGTGGTTGTTGTCAAGGTTAAAGTGGCAGCGAGTCTTTTAGGTTGTGGGGGAATAGAGCTGGCTCCTTGTTGTCTATGTGCTCCGGGATCTGCTCTAATCTTCGTCGTTTTGTATCCTCGTCGTTTTGTATCCTCCTCGTTGTGGTTTCTCGCCGATCTAGTAGTTGGTGGATCTGCTTCTTCATGTGTTTCGCCACGTTCTGTTCCTTTGCGTCCTTGACTCCGGTAATCTGCTCCTTTAGCTTCTTTTGTCTCGTTGACTCAGTATTTGGCTTAGTTGTTGTTCGGGTGGTTTAATAGTTGACTTAGGCTGGATCAGAGGATGAATGGCTTTATGTTGGCTCTATTTCGTCGGCTTGTTCGTACGCCTTGGTCGTATGTTCCGGATCTATAGTTTGACTGCCCCTTATTCTCTGATTTTGGTTGCTAGTCCGGAGCGTGGCTTTGACTTGCTTGTTCTCTTTTTGTATTGGATTGGTTGATTTTGCTCCTCTTTTCTGCTGATGGTCGTTATGGTGGTCTCTCCGGTTCGATCTTGTGCTGTGCTTTTCTGAGTATGGTATCTTCCGGTTTTGAGGTTGGTTTCGCTCCTTGTTTCTACATTCAAGACCTGATCGAGGTCTGGTCAGTTCAAAGACTGTTACTTAGGCGTTTAAAAGTCGTTTGTTTTCGACATCGCCGCTTTCGGAAGAAGTTTGGAGGAACTAGAATACTTTGTCTTGGTTCTTTCTTGCCGGAATAGAAGTCTAGGTTCACTTCGTGTGAGAGGTAGTTTTGATTCACTATAGGAGGTTTCGTTGCTTGCGTTGTTTGTGAGTGGCTTTGATCATCTTGGTTTAGAGGAGTATAAGTCAGCAAATCTCTTCTTTAGAGTTCTTAATTTTAGTCGTTGCCTTTTGTTTCGTCTTTTGAGAGCTATGCCCCGTTCTGTTTTCATGCTTCCCTCGTTTGGGCTTAGTTTCCCGGGATATCTATGTCTTCCGCCGGCTTTGTGTATTAAAAACGTATTCCACCCCTGTATTCCTCAATCGTATAATATAATGAAATAATTTAGACGAAAAAAAAAAAAAAAATTGTCTTTAGACATCTTTTTTATCATCATTCTTTGGTTAAAAAGTTAGGTATATAATTTTCAAACAATTTGAATGGACACACTAAAGAGAAGAAGGGCAAAACAAAAAGTCTGTAGTTACACTATGGAACGTGTCACTGTGGCCCATTATAAAAAAGACAAAAATAATAATTAATGAAATAATTGAAAGTATCGAACCTAGTAAAAGGGGGTCAAAATACTTGCATTAAACCAAATCAGCTACAAATAAATAACAATTACTAAGAATAATTTTTACTATACATATTTAAGGGGTGTCAGATGACCCCTCATCCTTCAACATGGATCCGCCAGTGTTTATACGTGAAACGTTTGTATCAGTGTATGTATATGTATTATAGGTACATTATATATCCATGTATGTACGGTTTCATTCAAAGCTTTAGATTGTGAATAAATTTTCATATAGAAGCTAGAATTTGAATGGTGTTATATTAAAAATAATGCTCAATTCATGATAGATTGGATGCATCATGCATGGATCAACCATTCTATATCTTTCGGATACAACAAAAATACAAAGCATATCCGTTTATTAATGTATATAGCTATAATAATTGTTCTTTCCAATAATCATATATTATATGATGGATTATAGATATACTTAAGATTCATGTTGATGACTATCTAAACAATATACCGTTTGCTAGAAAATCTCTACTTGTTTATGAAGTGTAATAAGAAAAACAAGCTAAGTGGGCGATGATGATATGCGCTCATAAAACAAGTATTTTATAAAATAATGAAAATCTTAACTTATTGACGCATGTTGAGTCAAAGCTTGGCAGATCTAATCGCCGAGAGCTTCTAAGCAACTTCGATAACGAAGTTCTCAATAACTTGATTAATCATATACTGGTTATTCTAACTAACATGTAACATAAACTATTGTTAATTTGAATATCATTTTATTGTTATTATTATATTTCTATTA